TAAGAACAGAAAAATCAGGTTGTGTAGGTTGTCGAATATCCCAAATCTTAGGACAAACAAAAAAAAAAAAGTATAAGATAACAAAGTTCGTTTTAACTTACTGGTACACAATATTGACCATTGATTACGGAAGCAAATTTATTTGTATTCGATATATTAATATCAATATCACGAAATCCTTCTTTACTTGAATGTCGAAATGATGTTACAACTTTATCGACATTATTTATTCGAAGATCAATTAACTAAACAAAAAAAAAAAGAGATTTGTATAGAAATTGTGTGTAAATGAAAGTGTGAAACACCTTATAGCGACCAGTCAAGGTTATTTTTCTTGGATTCCGCATTTAAAATCTATATTTTAGAACTCGATGATCTCGAGAACGGCACGCCGTTTCGTTTACTCAAAGTACATTTCAGACATTATAAATAATGTATATGCATTTTATTTTCATTATGTCCATATAATGAAGCCAGACTAGGTGGTAATCTTACCAATGATTTATTATCCCTAGTACTAATGGTAATCTATTAGTGGACAGTTGTTGACAATTTACTTTCTTAACGTACGCATCAAAAGTTGCGATGTTGTATCACGATGATCTCGAGAACGGAGACTCAGAAAATACTCGCTTAAATGCCAAGCGAAAGTGTTACGATTGAACCGATACCATTTTTTCCGAATTTTCCCGAGCACATTCTATTTGTTTAAAAATAGCGCCCCAAAAAGATTTTTCCAGCTTCGAGATAGTTAAAACGAAAACATAAAAAAAAAGTTAGCTACCAGCCTCTTTGCTTACAATTAAATGAGCTGCAAATACAGCTGATGATAGTTAATGAATCAGTAGGAGAATCAAGCGATCTATCTTCATTGAAAACATGCGTTGATAGCTGTTAGTAGAATTCTCTTAGTAATGAATTTCGCAATAGTTATTTTGCAAATTCTCTCAGACTTCGATTAGCTGATTAATCGCAACCTAAGTTTTCCTATTTATGGTAACAAAAAAAAAAAAAACTGATTTCAATAAAACATTAGTATGATTAGATAAAAAAGCAATCTATGATAAATTATAAAAATGATTATTCCTTTTTTATGAGATATCGATTGTTTTCGACAATCGACATTCGTAGCTTCGCATCTCATTTTTTAATCGAATGAAACTCGAATACCATCTAGTCTTACGCTTGTTTTTGTTCAGAATATAAAAAAAAAAAAATCTGAAAAGATAAACTTAGACAAAAAGTGTTCTCTTAGAAAAGTCAGCATAACACAATAAAATAGGGTTTTACCAATGGTCAGTTCAGGTCGTTGGTTTGGAATCAAAACTGGGAATGAATAAGAATTGTTTGATATAGAATCACTAACTTTGCACATATCCATATGAATTCAAAATTTCCAGTTTTTTCAAAAATGATTCTGGTTCTAACACCAAGTCCGACTAATTCTAGGAATTGGAATTTGTATATGCCTATAATAAAGCTTTAAAATAAGACGATTTCTACTCTTCACTCGAGGTTTTTATTGGATATCTGTGACAGATAGAAACCGATATCTTGTTTGAAATGTCTAACGAGTGTTTCTTCTGCGATCACATAACTTTCTTGAACGTATACTTGTTTGTAAAGCTCAATAGAATAAGAAGTCGACAATTCAACAAAATAGACTATTTAATCGAACTATTTTCTACTTCATCGAGTTTTATTACGCTTTATGAACTAATATAATTCGACAATGCGCACTTGTTATGGTTAATTATAGGAAGTGAATCTTATCAATATATTTGATCGAAATCTAATTGAATATATCAATTAGTGCGAGAGTTAGAAGTCAAAGATACTTTTTATTGATCGATTTTCTCTGTGAAAGATCACTCGATAATGACATTCAAATAGTGATTTTGGTAGCTCTCAGAATGGGCTACAAGAGTAATGTGTTTACATTTCTCAGGGATAACTTTTTCATGTTTTTATGACAGAATTTTTTTTTACAGCGATCAATAGTTTAAGACACAGTTTCGTTCGCAAGTTATGCCCGTCTTTTGCTTTTAAATAAATTTTATTTGTTCCAGTATCGATTTAACGAATTCAATGGATAAACTTTGATCAATGTTGTTCCATTCCTCTTGAAAACAATCCTTCGGGGCCGCCTTTCAATAAATTAACTATGAGGCACAGCATTTCGATAGGGTTTAAGTCTTGACTTTTTTAAAATCTAATCAAGTACACTCAATTTCAATTTATCAATTTTATCTTTGATGATATTCGAGGTCTGCTACGGGACGAAAGCTTATTCGAAGATCATTTCTGTTTTAGTAGGAATCTTTGTCATGGACTACTTCAGTTCATGTTCTAATACGCCAGAATATAAACAATCATTCATATTTTACATGTCAATATCGCCTGCTATTTTTGAAAAACTCGAGATCCCGATGCAGATTGCAATCTCATCACCTTCACTCGCATTAATTTGCTCCAAACATTCTGGGAAGAAGTTTTTCCTTCTCAAAACGCTATATTTTGCATAGATTTTTCTATTGCACAACATAAAATGTCAACTCATTCGGAAAACCTACTTTTCGATAATCATCACATATCGAACTCAAGTAGTTTGTGCACGAAGCTACACGTTATTATCGATGTTTGGTACTGAAGAACTATTTTTTTATTTTTAATACATATTCAAACGCGAGATTTTTGAAGTACCGACATATTATTCCTATTGAGACTGGTTTTCGTAAGCCGCTATTTACATCTAATGTAAGTTTACTCGCAATGAGACCGGAGTTTTCTTTCACTAATCTCTACAAGTGGCGGACATCACGACAAAAAATCGTTTTTTGGGCATCCCGAACGTTTCAGATCAGTTCTTTGAATCTCTCGATTGCATTTTGTATACAATATCGTGAAACCTTGAGTTACTCTGGAATTTGAACCTATTTGAAACTAGCACAGTGTAAAGCCATCAAATATATGTAAAAAGCAAAAAATAACGTTGTCTTTTGTATTACTTTTCTTGCATGCAACGAAGATATGAATAGATCCCTTTGACTTTTGATTACATTCTGAGAGATATCGAAATCACTATTCGGTTGTCATTATCGAGTCATTATTCACAGAGAAAATTGATTAAAAAAAAAGTGCCTCAAAACCTAGGTAGAAGTATTTTAACTAAGATCGTATAAGATCTTGCTGGCAATCGGATGTCGTAAGATTCATACTGAACGATTTTCCAAAATTGCACAAATATCTTCCTATAAGATTTGATATTTATCTGATTCTAAGACGCTACTGGGAATCTTACATGATTCTTACTATAAGGTTCTTCCAAAGTTAGATAATCGAAATTTTGTAAGATCTTATGCGATTGTATAAAATCATAATGTCAGAGCTGACCGATACAATTATAATTTTGATGGCGATAGTTTTGTGCATTCAAATAAATATGTAAGGGATTAATTGTATTCTAAGTGAGACGCTATTCTTTTACAATTGAAAATGCATCTCCTATGTAATGGTACTGATCTGCTAAAAAGTCACTTCATAAACAATTTAATCAATATAATTGAATAAAAATAGATTTTCTTTTTTTTTAAATTGTTTGTTTTATTATTTCAGATCATGTTAACGATTGAACTCCATAAGTCGTTTTTTCATGTTTCAATTTCTTTCAAGCATATATTTTTGTTTTCGTTGAATTTTGATAACTTTTATAAATAAATATCCATATATAAGTCAAGATAAAAGACTTTCTTAAAAAACAAGACGATTAACGCTGAAAATCAGGTATACGCTTCTGTAATAAACCCTGAAAACCATATGTGAATCGTACAGTCCAATTTTATTAGAAACTCATGTCTTTGATTACAATCGATTTAGGTCCCAGTAGCTGAAAAACAGATGACATGGGAATTCATTTCTAATAAAATTGGATTGTACAATTCTTGTGGATCTGGCGAAATTTTATGAAAACAATACGAAAAGTAATTATCTCTGAAATCTTGCGCTCTATCGTATAGTAATAAGATTCTTGAAAGATCTTACCATTCGATTGATTAAGCTGAGTGATAACTTTTAGGTCGTTTTATAAAATCTTATAATGGGATTATTTGATCTGAAAACTTTTGATTCCTATTTTATGTCACACTAACAGAGACGAGGTATACACAATCGGTTTTGAGAGTAATAAAAATTGAACAGATAATTTTTTCTAGTTATACCTTAGCATATCCATCTTGAGATGCAGTTAATAGTAGATTTGAATCTAAAAGAGAGAAGAAACATTTTTGAATTTTCTAATAGCTTGTTTGTTTTATTTCAAATCTACGTTTTGGATGAAATTGAATACGATTAATAACTGTATTATGAATATTTAATTGATCAATAGTAACTAATCGTATTGCATCCCAAATATATAAATATCCACTGGTACCACTCACTGTAGCAAAACAATTTTCTAAATGAACAAAACAATGATCATTATAAATAAAAATAATTTAAAAAAATATATATATAACCATCATTTGGATTCCAACAAACGTCTTTTGGCTGAAATGCATAACGTGATATAGCTGGTTGTCGTGGTGCATTACGAAAATCATGAATTTCTTTAAATTGTTCAATATTATCAATTGATTCAATAGAAAATAATTGAAAATCTATTTAAATAAAATAAAAAAACCAAATCAAACAACAACAAAAAAAGTTTATTTTTCTTTAATTCTTACTTTGTTGTCCAGCTGCTATTAACCGATTATTAATAGAATTAAGAGCAAGGGTCGACGTACCAGCACGTACAAAACAAGAAAATGTTGTGTCTTGTTGATTAATATTTGTTTTACTCATAAGGATAGATCATTTTTTGTTTAATAAAAAAATCTGGAATAGAAAAGAAAATAAATGGATTTTTTATTACAAAAAGTAAAAAAATAAATTCAAATATTCATACTGGAAAGTGAGGAAAAAATAAGAATCTAAATGTCATTTCTTTTTTTTTTGCTAGATTAAAATATTCGATTAAGAAATAATCGAGTTTGCTCAACGGTTATAAATAGTGTGCCAGTAGCCAGAAATGTACGAATGAGAGTTGGTAATAAACCAGCATAGAGAACAATAAAACCTATTTATCATAAGAAAATTATATTTTATATCTTTAAGAACTAATCCGACCTTCATTTTTTATTATTTGTAAAGTATATTTTGGAAAACTCATTTTTGGTTTAAATACTTGTATACGTGATTTAACTGCATCAATAGGAAACATGACTATCCAAAAACAAATACCAGCCATTCCACCGGATATCCATGTTTTTATAAAACCTATTCAAATACAAGAATTGTAAATCTAAATAAACATTTTTTTGTTTGCTTACCAATATCTTCTTTTTTTTGATTTTTTTTCATTAAAATTGTTCTTGTTAATTCATAGCCTCCAAAAAAACATCCATAACCTGGGCATTCTCTTATTAATGTTGTTGTTAAACCATGAAATAAACCACGTATACCTTCTGTACGTATTATATTTCGAGTAATATTCATTGGTGAGCTATCAATGATCCAAAAATAACGAAGTCTATTGAATGTCTTTTTTTATTTCGAAAAAAACAATTTACATTTTCTTGTATAATATATTTTCTCCATTCAATGAATTCATCTTTTGCATTTCATAAAATGTTTGTATTCGACATTTAACTAATTCCGTTGGACATAAGGCTAAAGACGAAAATATAGCAGCAAAACTTCCAGCTGCCATATTCTCGAGTGTATTTAATTGTTCATGATCGATTTTATTTCGTAAAAAACAAATTAAATTTTGAGATTGACCATAAGCCATAAATAAAATTCCATTTTCTAAACTTTTTTCAAAATAAAAATTTAATTAAATAAAAGGGAGAAAACTATGTTCTATAAAACCTGCAATATTTGCCAGTAATGATGGTGAAGTTCCAGCATATAATCCACGTAGACCGTTTTCATGAAAAATTTTTCGTCCACAATCAAAAAAATGTTTATAATGAGTAGGAAATGTTTGTAATTTGGTTTTTATAGTATCTAACGGTTGTCCAACTAAAACTGATGCTGTTGCACCTATATTAAATATAACGAAATTATTTAATTGCTATGGAATGCATTTTTACCGGCGGTCCCACTAAAAAAGTCAATTATAGCATCGGAATGCATTTATTTAGGAATTTCTATGCTTTTTTCGTATTCCATTAACAAACAATCAGATTGCGCTAGTGAACATTCCAATGATTAGCATCAAAGATTTGATTGGTTTTCGTATAAAAACCAATAGAATATTGTATATTTGTTGTGTCTAATGTTTACTTCTAAAGGGTGTATAGTCTGACGAAAAAGGGTGTGACGGAAAAAAAACCAATCAACTACATTATTCACTAGCAGTGGCAACATCTGGTTCACGTTGTGAGATAAACAAAATAATTAACATAGAGATAATGCGAATCAGATCCTCTAAAAAAATTTATATTTATTTTTGTCTAAAATGAGTTTCATGGACAAGATGCCGCTACATTATGACTATGAACGCAGTTTCAAATGAGTATCGTGGAAGGCTTCTCATGTTCATGAAATTTAAAATAACGACGCTGTAAGTAACATATGTCATTTCTTCCGAAGCAAGGTCTAGTTCATTGGTATGCCATTAGCTTTATGAACTGTCTATTGTCATCATTATTATTATTATTATTTTGTTTTGCTTGGTTTGTTGTGCAAGTATTTGAAGTTACGTACTCATTTGTCTGTTTTTCTTCATTAGTTTTATAAAATCACATTGTTGTAAAGAAAACGTATTTTAACGGTATTAAAAGAGATTACTATTGAATTAAAAAAATAGATTGAAATAAGAAAGAAGATCAAACAAATAGAGCAAAAAAAATAGATTAGCTCTCATTTCGGATGATTGTTATTGATGAACTATTCATTGTTGGTTCTGATAGCAATAAATGATTTATTGGAGGATTTCCGTACGTGTTTTGATTTTCATTTCAGTCTTCGGATGATATGCCAGTTGAAAGAATGTTTCTCTAATTTTAATAAATAAAAAAATTAATTTTACACTTATTATCATTGAGTCATTATCGAAGCATAGGTGATTCATATTCAAAATGGAGGATAATTGTAACAACTCAATTACATCATTTGTGCATTTATTAATAATCTATTCGCAAGATTCATTTAAAACGTGATCAATATCCTGCTCGAAGCTTGTTTTCTCTTTCAATGGATCTAATTATTATAGAGGTGCTCTTCGAAATAGCTTCCATTACCTTACATATCAAGTATTTTTTCCTCTTCTATGGCATTTTACAATATACGATTCATTTTATTATAATTGATCGATAATTCGATATAAAATTAAAAGAATATTTTAATATTGAGAATAGTTAGAACAGTACTGACTCTATAATTATATAAATAATATACATGAAACGTTCTCTTCATGTCACTTGTCATCGTCTTCCATTACAAAGTTGATAGTGAACGCGAATGCCTTTACAATAACATATGCTATCCGAAAGATGTCTCTAACTAAAATCCGTTATTTGGATCCATCAGAAAGATCTAATACACGAAAAACTATCATTTGAGATAGAATAAATTTCCTGAAAAATATGAGGTTTTGAAAATGAGTTTCATGCTGAAGTACATAAATGAAAGAAACTCCATTCTGTAGTCGAATCGATGATTCATACGTATGTATCCATATACCAGAAGTTATTTTAGATAAAAAAAAAAAGAAATGTTATTTCGAAAAGACCCATGTGGAATTATTTGTGTTTTATTGACATATTTAATGCTTTTGCATTGTCTTTATGTTGTTCTTTTTGTTCTGATCCTACCATTATTAAATGAAAGGTTAATTTAATTTAATTTAAAAAAAAAAATAATAAACGATGTATTTTAATTTAGTTTATTTGGAACATTGAATGCTTTGATTATTTGTACACTTATTTTTCTATCAATTCTTTCACATGCTCGTGCAGCATATTCGGATCCAGGTTTTGTATCATTACCGAAAAAAGGACTTGATTTTTCTGATGTGAATACAAATGCTAGTACTAACAATCTTTTAAAAGTAAGAAAAAGAAAATTTTATATACATTTACTTTTACAATAATTACTTTTCTTTTCAAGCCAAATGAAGAGGGTTGGACAGGTATGTGATAAGTATCTAATTTTGAAAAGTATAAAAATATGTTATTGTTTTGCATTAGTCTGTAATCGATGTGATACATATCGACCAGCTCGCTCACATCATTGCAGGTAGATTATTATCTATATTAATATTGTTTAATAGTTTGTTTTGTAATTGTTTAGAATCTGCAAACGATGCGTAAGAAGGTTAGAATTTATGAAAAATATTTTATTTTTTGTGTCCTATTCAATTGATGAAAAAGAGATCTCTGAAGTTCAATGTGATAGGATAGTTGAATTATCATTGCTGAGAGATATTTATTAACACTCTAAAAAATTAAACAAGACGAATGCATTTTGTATTGTCATCAATTTTATTTAACAATGAAATCAAAAACAAAATTTATAATATAATACTGAAAACTGATAAATTGAAAAAAAATTTTCTTCTGTTCTATTTATTAATGCTGATCAATGACAACTAACAAGTGATATGTTTTTTTTTCAATGATATATTAAAAAGTAGCAGAAAAAAAAACGGATTTAATGAAGATGACTAAGCATTAAAGAGCTGGAAATTCTTTCAGATCCGAGATTACAAAAATATGCACTCATAGATTTCTAGCATCAAGTGTTGAGAAAATAATCAACAAGAAATAATTGTATATTGTCTTTTTTCCTGATAGTACAATTCACTTTTCGACCGAGACAATATTCATTTGACAAATGCTAGTGAGTAATATGAAAGGTCTAGAATGGTTTGGTTTTCTCGGCCATCATTTTTGAGATATCGAAATTTTACTAGGTTTTTCGTCCTTCTCCGTTCACATGGAAAATCGAATTTCGATTTCAAACTTTTGCACGAGATAAGTTCTTAATGAGATTAGTTGATCATGCAGCTTTTATGCATGAGAGAGTTTTGAATCTTCAATATATTGAGGGAAGAGATACCAGAATAGTTGCAATTTACCCAATGATCTAATCTCATTGAGAACTTTATATGTACAAATTTTGAAGTCGAAATTTGAAGGTCGATTTTTTACGTGACCATAGCGTCTCATTGCAAAACTTAGTAAAATTTCGATATCTTAAAAAGGAAAGCCTGGAAAACAAAATTTTTTTTTTCATTAATATTCAGCTATATAACATAGCAATCGATGGAACATAAAACAAATAAATATGATTTCTGTTTTAGATTGGATCATCATTGTCCATGTAAGTAAAATTTCATTTGTATTTTTCCTAGAAAAAAAAAATGTCTGCTTTTCAGGGATAAATAATTGTGTTGGTGAATTTAATCAAAAATATTTTATTTTATTTCTTTTCTATATTGGTAAAACTTAAACTTTATAATGTTCGAAAAAACATATCTATTTAACTCTATTAGGATTGACAAGTCTTTATGTCGTATCATTTATTATCTGGTCATTAATTATTTTTCCAAATAAATCTGAAGCTCAAATGTATGTAAAACGAAAAATTTTATTAATGCTTCTTTTTTTTTGTTTTACTTATGAAATTATTTTTCGTTAATAGTATTCACTCTATAGTTCTATGTATTGAATCATGTTTATTTGGTATATTTGTTATAACAGTATTTGTTGATCAAATACAATCAATAATAAATGATCGCAGTTTAATCGATGCATTAAAATTAGATGAAAGTTCTCGAACGTCACAACGCACATTACCACCAAAACGTGTTCTATTTCAAAATATATTTGGTTCTGGTAAGAACAAAAAATAATTATATAGAAAATTCTATTTCTTTTTTTGACTTAGGTCCAATGATATTATGGTTATTTCCATGTGATTTGAAAAGTTCTAATAAAATCACTGATTCACAAGACACGTACAATGTTTGAAAAATATATTCATTATTTTTATTAAACATATCCACTTTTATATGTGATCTGTCATTCGACTTAAAATATTTCTTTTTTATTTCGTAAAAGTCAAAAATGTTGTTTTTTAGCTTTTTGTAACTCGTATTTAATTAATTATCTGTATAAGAATTTATGCTTTTTTTGTAAATTTATTTGTTTTTACAATAAAATCTCTTTTTAGATGAAATGAAAGTTTCTCTATAAAAAAAAAACAAAAAACAATGGCTCAAGCAGCGGCAACGAACTTTCGACGACGTCTTCTTGGTTCAAGACAAGATTCATCTAATGATAATCTATCTATTGCAATAAATTCAAGTAATTTTTATCAAAATCGTACATTTATACGTATAGACCGACGTATAATGGAAAAAATTTGGAAACAAATGGATCGTATTGTTAAATATTGTCAAATGCCAAAAATGAACTTAAAAAATTCTCCACCATATATGCTTGATATTCTACCTGATTTTTATCAAACATTACGTGAAATAATAAATCATTATGAAGATCGTTTACATATATTAAATGATATAGAATATTTTCGTATATTTATTAATAATCTTATTGAATTATGTACAAAAACAATTGAGTGTTTTAAACGTGCTGGTCATCATATGTTTGATGAACAATCAATATATAGAAAACATTTTATAAAACTTTCATTATATTTTTCACATAATTTAGCTGAATTAAAATCTTTATTTATAAATGGTATATATGAAGGTGAACGTTTTCGTTTAACAAAACAAGAAGCAACAGATTTTTGGAAAAAAAATTTTAATGATAGGTATATATATATAATTATAAAAAAATTTTGTTTCATTAAAAAATTTATTTAGAACTATTGTACCATGGGAAGAATTTAAAGAAAAATTAAATAATATTCACACAATACAATCAAATAATGAATCAACAGCCTTACAAAACACTATTGATTTAACTCATAATAATCATGTATCAATATTTGAATTCGATGTTTTTACAAGGTAAAATTAAAAGTAATTATAGATAGCGGCGTAAGCAGAGAAGCTAACAAGGGAACCTTTCCAGGTGCCCGATCGCTTTTGAGTCGGGACTTTGCGCATCTTGTAGGCCTTGATGAATTATGTCAACCATAGAAAAATTTCGCGCCCCTAACTTGGTCCTAGTGAGATATCGAGGTTTTAATAAATTTTCTCTATAAGACGCCACGTTTGCAGCAAGGTCATATTTTTTAATTTCGATCTGAAATTTTGTCCCCATAACCACTTCAACTAGACTAGTTTTCATACANGCATCCCCCCCTCCAAAATCGATTTTCAACATGGTGCATCGGACTTGCCTGAAACTTTCCACAAATGTTGGGCACATCAGAGTAAAGTTACGAAATTTTTTTTTACTTCTCTAAACCTCAGCGTTCAGAAGTTTTCCAGAGATCAAGGCCAAAAATGGGCCCTCTGGCAGTACAAACTTTTTTCACTATACTTCAACGGGCTGAATCGGGGATTGTTTTATTTGAAGAAGAACTGTTTACCGCTTCGACTGAGGGAAAGAGATTTTTTAAATTTTCCTTTGTTCAATTTAGGGACGTCCAAAACCCAAAAATTCTGAAAATCTTACCCCAGCGCTTTTGAAAAACCCTGAATTTTTCTCAGATTGACGATTAAATAAAAAATCCTTTTACCTCATTCGAAGCAGTACACATGTATGTATCGACTAAAAAAAACCGCAGCTCTCGAGGATGAAGTATATTGAAAAAAAATTTGTTCTGTTGTCGATATTTAGCATAAAAATCCGTTTTGAGAAAATTGATAAATAAAGTGAAAATTATTTTTAAGCCATTTTTGGGAAACAAAGAATTCTAAAGAATTTCTAGAAATCTGACATTGCCATTACATCAAACATGGAGACAAACATGTATAATCAAAATTTTAGAATTTTCGGTCATCAGGTAAAGAAGAGAGAAGATTTTCAATCGCTGAGACAAACATCAAAATAGGTGTCCCTATTCGGCAAAAACTTTTGTAACTCATTCTAGGTATCAAATTTTATTCTGAAAATTTGGATATTATGGTAACTTGGCACGCTGAATACGATAGTGATTTTGGTTTTCTATAAAAATTTTAAAAATTGGGAACGGTCTCCTGAAAGTCTAAAAAAGTACTGGCTTACTACAAAAAAACGATTGAGAACAGCCAAAAACCATTCATATCCTAAAACCAAAGACATGCACTGAAAGAGGAGAGTTCAGTGCATCATCCTCCAACAAAAGCTCAATTTTGAAATTTTTTCAAAAAATCTAATTTTTGGAGGGGGGGGGGATGCCTTAAGGAATGAAGTCTATGATGTTGATTAATAGTAGAAGTATACATACGAAAACGAACACTTGCTCGCTATGCAAAATTTTACAAGAATTTTGAATAAAATATCGATATATAATGATATAATAAATTAATTTCTTGTGAGAATACGAATCATCACCATAAACTGACCTATTTAATTGTTCTAATAAGTAAGGTACCGAAGTCTTTGTTCCTCGAGTGTTTCAACTACTTCTGAGAGTGGATACGATGCATATGAAAACAATTCATATTCAAATAAGGTATAGCACAAGGTACAAAAGTACTATAAATACTATATATGATTCGTTTTTTTCTTATGAATTAATTATTTCAATTTTACTAAATGGTTTAGAATGAACAAGTTGATTTTGTATCAGTTCTCACATAAAAATAGGTAGAGTTCATTGAGTTTTGACTTTTGGACACGACATTGAAGGGTCAAATAAAAGATTCTTGATTGAACTGACGTTAGAATTATTTTGAGAACAAGTTATTAATTTGAACTTATATATGATTCAATTTCGATAAAAAAATTTTAATTTTTCTTAATATGAAATATGTATTCTTTATTGTTCTAGTTATTCTTCTAATCTTAGTATTAATATAATTGATCAATTTCAAACAATAGATGATATACGAAATCGTTTAATATTTGAAAATAATTTTGATATAAAACGTATTGAAGCTGCTATAACATTAACCGAAGGTTTATCATTATCTAAACAGTATAAAATGGCTAAATTATTTCTTAATCAAGTAAAATATGAACAAGAACAATTATTAAATAATAATAATAATAATACTTTCATTAATGGTTCATTAGTAAATGAAATTAATTAATTTTTGCCTTTATTCTATTCCTTTTATCAACAGTATATCAAACAATTCGGTTTTTTTTTTCTTCGGGGAAAATTCTTTAATATTTTTTTTATTATCTTGATAATAATATTATTTTTTTTTTTTCTTTCAATATGTCTCTTTTAATATAGAGACTGTGAATTATTTGACCACAGATATAATTTGTATGCGTGTGTTTTTTTTATATTTATGCTGAAAAGAAAATGCTTTGCATAATAAATATTTCTATTTCTAGATAATAACTATTAAAAAGAATGAAAGAAGATATTCCAAGTGAGTTTTTTTGTTGTTTGTAAATTGATAATCTAATTTGTTTTTATCTTTTATAGCAACGTGTGTTGCTGCTGTTTTCTCTGATATTGAACCTGGACCACAAGTATAATTCCTTGATATACTTGTCTTTGATTTATTATTTTTTGAATTTTCTAGTTGAAAGATATTGAAAAATTTATTCATGATCATGGTGGTCAACCGGAATTAGATTTTAGTACGGATGAATTAGAAAGTAAAGTTGAATCGATTATACGTGAATTAAGAAATGTTCTTAAAGAAACAATACCCGAAGGAGGTAACAAAAAAGACTTATCTTTTTTTTATGTTATTATGAAAAATTTTGATTATTAGAAATGGAAATGTTTCTTAATTCGGTTATGAGTTTAATTTTACTTGTACCAGAAGATAAAATTAATCGACCAATTTTAAATTTTTCTGAAGCTATTATTAATGCTAATTTACCAGAAAAATATGGACCAATGAAACTTCGAGTGTAAATTAGAAATTGATTTTTAGTTTATAACAAATTCGAAAAGAATTTTCTCTTTTATAGATTAACTAATTTAATTTATGTTGTACCAGAACGTAGTAACACGGATAAATATAGAATTCTTATTGACTTAATCAAATGTGCTCGAAATCATCGATGCATTAATGCTGTTTCAGTTGGAATTAATCAGGTATTCCTTTATGGAAATTATATCATTCAAACAATTCAATTGTACTTTTAAAAAAATATCAACCAACATTTTAGATTGTTGCATGATGAAAATAGCGACTTAAACATGAAGAAAGTTCAGCACCAAAAACCTAAGCTAAATATGAAGTCTTTTTCGACTATCTTGCGGTATGAGGTATTGCCTAGCGGAAGATTCAATAGCCGAATATCTTCGCTCTCTGGATAGAATGCCGATCTAACGCAATGTTCTTGAGCTCCTCATAAAGGGTGTCCCAGAAGATCTGAAACGATTTTAAGAATTCACCGTTCTCGCATTCTACAAAAGCAAATTCGCTGAAACTTTGGTAGATTGTTGTACATATGTGGTACTACATAACTGCAAAGTTTCAGTTCTATAGCTTGTACTATGGATGAGAGCCTAGAACAACACTGTCATGTACTATTTTCGAAATTTTCCTGTATTCTGGGTCTGTCAAAATGTCTATATCTTGGCTTAGGTAGATGATAAAATCTTGAATTTTTTTTAAAAACATGCGCCGTGAAAAGCTCTACAAAAATTGTAATAACAATTCCCTATTGACTTGTGTTCACACTCAAAATGAAAAAGCTACATGATAGTACGACTTCTCACCATAATAAAAAAAGGTTTGGAAGACTTTTTTGTTTTCCAATAGGAATTTGTTTATACAGCTTTTGTAGAGCTTTCGACGGCGCATCTTTTGAAAAAAAAATCAAGGTTTTATCATTTTCTCAAGCTGAGATACATGCAAAACAAAAAGGTCTTGCAAACCTTTTTTTATTACTTACAGTATGGTGAGAAGTCGTACTATCATGTAGCTTTTTCATTTTGAGTATGAACACAAGTCAATAGGGATTTGTTATTACAATTTTTGTAGAGCTTTTCACGGCGCATCTTTTAAGAAAAAATTCAAGATTTTATCATCTACCTAAGCCGAGATATAGACATTTTGACAGGCCCAGAATACAGAAAAATTTCGAAAATAGTACATGATAGTGTTGTTCTAGGCTCTCATCCATAGTATAAGCTATAGACCTGAAACTTTGCAATTATGTAGTACACAAATGTACAACAATCTACCAAAGTTTCAGCGAATTTGCTTTTGTAGAATGCGAGAACAGATGAATTCTTAAAATCGTTTCAGAACTTCTGGGACACCCTTTATATTCTAGCTAGCTATAATGGCAAATGTATATCACAACGTAGTCAGCACTTTATCAGACGGTATACTTTGTGAATAGATGTAGAACTTCGTAGCTACTCAGTCATGGCGGCTGTCTTTTGAAGGATCAATGAATGTGTCAAAGATGATAACAAATAAGTAAAACTTCATTCGAAATTGAGTCGTATCGTATTATTTGTTTCTTCGATTCCATTTCGAGCTCTGGAATTTATATAAGAAAGTATTAACCTTCTTATTGATAATCTTATTGAATAAAAACAAAAACAATTAATTACTATATAGATAAATAACAGGATATTTTTTCTGTCTGATATTCTCAATTCTTCAACATATCAACTCATGATACAACAAAACAAACAAGTTATATTAGATTAACGGATAATGCAAAATTTTTGCATTAATTTTGTTTTCAATATAGGGTGATAACAACTCGTAGTGAAGACTTAATAGTTTTTCTTATTAGAATGAGCAAAGTCTTTATTACAATGCTGTATAAAAATATTTAATGCAAAAAAAAAAACTTTCCGAAGGCTAAAAAGTTTTAAGAACATTTTTGAGTGGAGAAGTTCTCTACAAGCTTGTTGAATTGAGCTCGCAATCGATATTTATTATCAAAAAGTATTCACAACTAATAAATGCTAATAAACACCTCTACAAAAGCACATTATATAAAACAGAATATTAGACATTATGAGGAAAATTTCTTTCAACTTTTTAGAGATAAAATCAAGTTTTTAATAAAAAATTTGCTCATCAAACCTATGACTTTGTAACTTGAATATTTTTCCACAATTTTGCTTTATCTAACAAGAAAACGATCGAACTATTAATCTTCTCATAGACTTCATATTTACCTTAATTATGTTTTTTTCTTTTTCGTATTTAACTTTTCGGTGCTGTAGTTTCCTCGTACTCATATATCTTTCGTATTTATCGTTCTGATTCCCGAACATTTCTTCAATTTTAGGTTAAAAAATGGGTCAAAGATTGGAAAGTATCAACTGAACAAGTACAAGAACTTTATCGTAATATGCATGAAGCATATGCAGCAACAGGAGATTCGTATGTATTTTTCTTCGATATGAAAATTCATTTTATTTTCAAATTATTTATTCAGTGCAAATGCATTACAACTTTTACTTGAATTACTTGGTACATATACAAAAGAAACTGCATCAAAAGCTCGTACAGATGCATTCAAGTATAATTAGAAATGATTTTATTTTCATTTGAAAAAAATTTTTTCTTTTTGTATGTTACTATAGATGTATTATTAATAGTATAAATGATCCAAATGTCTTTATCATGGATCATTTACTTTTACTTGAACCAGTAAAAGTTCTTGAAGGCGAAAATATTCATAATGTAAAATAGAGAAAATTTTTTTCATTTAATTATTTAAATTTTCTTGTTTTTTAGTTATTAAATATATTTGTTTCGGGTCGTTTACAAGATTATTTAGAATTTTATAGTAAACAAAAATCATTTATTGAATCATCAGGTAAATATATATAAAAAATAAAAATTCTCTTTGTATTTTTCATCTTTTATAATTTAATATTTAGGTGTTAAACATGATCGAAATATTACAAAAATGCGTTTATTAACATTCCTTCAAAGTGCTGAAAATCAAAAAGAAATAACATTTGATACAATTGAAAAACAAATGCAAATAACAGCTGATGAAGTTGAATCATTTATTATTGAAGGTTAAAAATCTTATCTACTAAAAAATCACAAAACAATTTTAATTAATATCTTTTCTTTTTTTTTCAGCTGTTCGAACGAAAATGATACGTTGTAAAATCGATCATCTTGCTCGTAAAGTTATTATCGATAGTACAGTTCAACGAACATTTACAAAACAACATTGGCAAGCATTAAAAGAAAAACTTGAATCATGGAAAACAAATTTAGCTATGATTAATACTAATCTTAGTACATTAATGGCAGCACAGGGAACAACAAAATAAACAAAAAAAAAAAGCTTTTGTTTGTTCTCTTGAAATTACAACAATATATCAAAACAAAATATATACATGAAAGATAGTTGTTGTTGTTATTGTTTTTCTTGTTAAACAAAAGAAGTCAACGACTATTTTTAATATTAAAAAAAAAAAAAGCAAAAAATTTTATCGTTCATAACAAATTTATTTGAAATGAAAAAGAAACAAACATTATATGAAGATAAAATATTTAAGAAAATTTTCTTCAAATTAGAAAAAACAATTGATAACTTTACATACTGCTTGAAATGAGAGTGCTGATGGATGATTGTGTTGTATCTCAATGATGAGAACTATGGTATTATTAGAAATAGTAGATCAGAAATGAATTTTTGCATACAATACAACGATCCTTTTCCGAGCAAAAAAAAACAACAACATTTACAGGATAGGTAACACTGTAATTTCAAATAATATCAACAACAAAATAAGATCACGTTGAAAATGAAATTTACTAATACTAAAGGTTATAGCAACTTTTCAATTTCGAATTCAGGAAACTCATAAAATTCTTAGCCATATCAGCAGAGAAAAATTTTGCTTTCATGAGGCAGTTCAAACTAGATTTCATATAAAACAATGAATATCAAAATATAAGTTTTTTTTTAAAAGGTTATTTCAAATAAATTGGACATTTCGTGTAAAACAGCTAATAAGAAACAATAGTTAACTAAAACTGTATTTCATTATGAAAATTTGTGCCTCAGATATACTTTAGTGCTTCTGTATAGTACGTTCGGAAGAATTTTGTTAAAGTTTTTTTTGTACAAAAGAGTTGTTTCCACAATCATTGACTTGTCTTACAGGTATTTAGTTATACGAAACAATAAATATTGATTCTATTCTTTGCAAGGAACAAATAATGCTTTTATAAATCATACCGGAGGTCCTTAAACTCGTCCCGCGTTCATGCGCACGCCTATCCTACATCTCGCAGAGCTTTATGGAGCGCGTGCTTACATCATTCTGATGTGTAGCGAACTCTGCAAGAACATAGAATAGAGCAAAAAGAGGCAAAAATGTGCGATGAGCTTGGACGTAAGCAATGGCACGGGACGAGTTTAAGGACCTCTGGTTGACTTTATTGTTCCAGGAAACACTCTTCTTACTGATAGAGTCTGAAATTAGAAACTGTCATTGAGATTACTAAAAAAACGCTTCAGAGGAACATAATTGAATAACTCTCCATTGATCATGAATGTACGACATTCTGATTCCACCACCATCTCTATTATCAAAAGATATACTTCAATATATTCGAGTTTTTATACTTAAGAAACAATAGCCTGTATTACTAGTGATCTTCTTCTTTTATTTAATTTATTTTACTTCTGTATTTGAGGGTTAATTGTCAAAACAATTCACTTTTATTGTCAATTCAAAATAAAAGATCATTTGATTAAGTAAATATTTGAAAGAATAGCTTTAAAATTCTTAAACTTAAAGATGTCTTTAATCAGACATAAGATCGTAGGATTATGTCAAATCATAAAAGTAAGATTTACAGACTTTATTGTTTCATTGATATTTAATTTTTTTTTTTGCATTCCTAATATTTTTATTCACTTCGTTTATTTTTTCAATTGAAAAATTCCATATCATTTAGCACCATTTTATGAATTTTTTTTTTGTTTTTTAAAGATTAATTTTTCGTAATGAAAAGCTCTTAGATAAACAAATCGGATCATAATTCACTTTTATTCTCGTTTCAAATGAATGTGCTAATTTATAACAGCTGTGTTTATTTGTTATTCATTTCTATGTGGTCAATTGTCACACATATTTCTATTTTCTTTTTATCATAACATGTGTGTTCACATTCGTCTACTGTAGACAAAGATACATTTATTCTATTCGTCTATTTGATTTTTCAAACGGCTTAATTCTTTCGGATATAAAAAGAAAACACAAATACGTATCCAGATCATTCGTTCTGATTCTTATCATAAACACGTCTTTCTCATATTAATAACATGCGAGAGATTACTGTTTCAACACTAACAAATGGAAATAATATTAATGAAAATGATGTATTAATTGTAAGTTATATTTTTCTTTTGAATTCATAATATTTATAATCAATTTCTAAAGAAAAACATACCGATAGTAGTAGTGTATGTATTTATTTCAAAATTATATTAATAATCAAACAATTTTGTTTTGAATTTTATAATTTTTTCATTTTTGATTAAGGATGACCATGTTAAACCAAGAGAACAAGATGAACCACTTTTACGTGAAAATCCTTCACGTTATGTTTTATTTCCTATAAAATATCATGATATATGGAAATTTTATAAACGTGCCGTAGCATCAGTATGGACATGTGAAGAAGTTGATTTAGCTAATGATATGAATGATTGGTTACGTTTAACAGCTGATGAACAATTTTTTATTAAACATGTCTTAGCTTTTTTTGCTGCTAGTGATGGAATTGTTGGCGAAAATTTAGTAAATAGAAAAATTATTTATCAAAAATAATCTTTGCTTTTTTCTTTTAATTCTTGATTTTTAGGTAGAAAAATTTTCATCAGAAGTTCAAATTCCCGAAGCACGTTGTTTCTATGGTTTTCAAATTGCTATTGAAAATATTCATTCAGAAATGTATAGTTTACTTATTGATACATATATTAAAGATCCACGTGAACGGTATAATTAAATTTTCTTTAATAATTTAAATATATATGATGGTTTTTGGTTTTGTAGAGATATTTTATTTAATGCTATTTCAACATTACCTTATGTTAAAAAGAAAGCCGATTGGGCTATTCGTTGGATGAATGAAAAAACTCCATTTGCTGAACGTTTAGTTGCATTTGCTTGTGTTGAAGGCATTTTTTTCAGTGGTTCATTTGCATCAATTTTTTGGTTACGTGAACGTGGTGTTATGCCTGGTCTAACATTTAGCAATGAATTAATTAGCCGTGATGAGGTTAGTTAAAAATTAATATTGAAAATTACCATTTTGACAATTTTTTCGCCAACAGATTTATAAACGTAATTAGGAATTTTACGAAGTTCAGTTAAACGAATTTTACCAGTCATAACTGAAATTTTATGTCCGAACTTAAATTGAGTCTATTAACCGCTAGAAAAAAATCGATATTTCTTTAGTTAGAGCATGAGTGTAGATCTCCTCTCCGTCCACACTCTTAATGCGATCAAATTAAATCTTGGGCAAAATTTCGACTCCCATTTTCTTCATCTGAAGTATCTATCGCTAAGTGGTTTGACTTATAATTGTCAAAAGAATAAATAAATCATTATGGCATCGTATAAGAATTAGAGCCCTCATAGCATAGAAATAGTTGAATTACTGTCACGTCCCGTATCATTTTCTAAGCAAGTGTATGTCTAATAAAAAAACAAAAAGTTTAATTCTTCAAGTCTATTGATGTTGAAATTTTGTTTTAGGGTTTGCACACAGATTTTGCTTGTTTATTATTTGAACATATTGTTCACAAACCAAGTGTCGAACGTATTGAAGAAATTCTTCGTGATGCTGTTAATATTGAAATTGAATTTCTTACTGATGCTTTACCATGTTCACTTGTTGGAATGAATGCATCAGCAATGGCACAATATATTAAATTTGTTGCTGATCGTCTATTAGTTGAACTTGGTTGTTCAAAAGTAAGTTTAGTATATTGTTTTTGAAAGAAAATTTACTTTTTGTTTTGTAATAGATTTATCATTGTGATTGTCCATTTGATTTTATGCATAATATTTCAATAACTGGTAAAACAAATTTCTTTGAAAAACGTGTTGGTGATTATCAACGAGCTGGTGTTATGTCTACAACAAATGAACATAGATTAACACTTGATGCTGATTTTTAATCTGATTTTGATCAAATCAATTCAAATCTTCAGTGTATAAAATTTTTTTTTTCATTGTCTATAGATGTCTGTCTCTGTAATATATTTTTTTCTTTCGTTCATACTTTGTATGTAGTATGTCTAACAACTTTAGCGAATGTAAAATATGTATAGATTATGAAAATATGATCAATGAAATAAAGAGTAGAATTAATAGTATAAATCTATTTTTGTTCTTTTATTTGTTAAAAGGAATTGTGGTTTTAGTAGATATGAATTTATAACTACTAGAGGCAAATGTTTCTGTAAGTGATTCAATGATACTAGTGTACAATCTGGATAGAAATGACTGCTAGATATATCAGATAGAAAAAGTATTCTATGAAAGTTCCGTCTAGTTTGAAGCTGTATTAATCCTGTTGAGTATGAGCGCCATGAATTTCGATGTTGAGATTTTACACTGAGAATAGTTTTTATAAACACTATTAATCACAGACATGATTTGAACTGAACAATTACCGTCAGTGAATCGTCGGTAGACCAGGTATATTGACGAGGGAACATTCCCAAGTGATACGCACCATTTGGGTTCATATTGGGCTCATAAGTAGGACCCAATAAGACTAGAAAAAGTCTAAAAGAGTTCGTGCCATTAGGCCTTTCTTTCAAAGTTATGACCGTTTTAGTGAATTTTCGACCTTGGGCAAGGAATTTATGGAAAAACTGAATGAAGGAATTTCGAACTGAAATTTTGCCTAACAACAGGTCTCATCGATGTTAGAAGTTTCAGTGAAAACAGATGCACCCTTCTCGAAATATTGCACATTGAAGAGAAATCAATTTCAAGATAATTTTTGAAAAATCGCCGTTTTCACTAATATGCAATATTTCGAGAAGGGCGCATCCGTTTTCGCCGAAACTTTTGGAAACTTCTAACATCGATGAGACCTGTTGTTAGGCAAAATTTCAGTTCGAAATTCCTTCATTCAGTTTTTGTATAAATTCCTTGCCCAAGGTCGAAAATTCACTAAAACGGTCATAACTTTGAAAGAAAGGCCTAATGGCGCGAACTCTTTTAGGCTTTTTCTAGTCTTATTGGGTCTTACTTATGAGCACAATATGAACCCAAATGGTGCGTATCACTTGGGAATGTTCCCTCGTGAGCGTAGTGTGAATAAACGTATGACATGGGTATTTAATAAAATGAAATGCCTAAGTATTTGCGTTTAGAACATTTGCCTGGTCAAGATCAACTACACTCACTTATGAGTGTAGGTTTTCCCTTACAGTTTAGATATGGCTTGTTTTCAAAAATTAATTTCGTACTGAACGAGTTAATTAGATAACTCTTGTTCATTAAATTGAACACAATAAGTATTAATCGGTGTCGTGCAGAAACGAGTAAATAACTTTCAAACGCTTGTATATATACCTTTATGTGTGTACATAGACATCGCGTCTTACTTGTCTTGAAGGTCTGATAAGAATTTTCTAATCGACAAAAAAAAAAAAAAAACTCTACATCTACTTTATAATTACAAAGAACAACTACTAAACAATCGAGAAAGATAAGAAACAGAAAGAAACGATGACAAGAACATCGACTAATGTACAATGTAATTTACATTAATAAAATCTCTTAAAGGATTTTTTTCATTTATTTATGTGTTTCAGAAAATTTTAAATGATCCATAATATCAATATTTGTTAGGCATCTTTTATATCATTCGTCCACGTAAAAAAAAAAGCATTAATCATACTTACCATTTTATTTTATCTTTTTTATTCCATTTTATAAGCCGATCGATTGTCTCAAAAACAAGCACACCTGATTTTTCTTTTCATTTTATTCTTTTTTTTTCAAATAACACGACTACTTTATAATATGAGCCAATTGATTATCTATCTTTTTATTTTACTTCTTTCGTTAACAACTACTGTTAACTGTAAACTACCTGTAGAATGTGAATTACCACCTGTAACAGGTCCATGTCGTGGAATGTTTCCATCATTTTATTTTAATCCATCAACAAAACAATGTGAAAAATTTATTTACGGTGGTTGTCAAGGTACAGTGTTAAAGAGAATATATCTACTTTGAATTTGAAAATAAAATGTTTTTTTTTTTTTTCTTTTGCATTTTAGGAAATGAAAATCGTTTCGAAAATAAAGAAAATTGTTTTGCAAAATGCGGAGAAAAGAATCATGAAAATGAAACAATACATGAAGATGAATAAAATTCTGTTTTTTTTTTGTTTTTATATAATTTAAAATCGATCTTAATATGAAATAAAATCAAAAGAGGGTTTTAACGATAGATGTCGCTAACTTTCAGTTTTCCAGAAAATTCTTACTATTGATTGGTCAAAACAATATTAGTAAGGTTTCTTCCATGTGCATGTAAGTTTACTTCAGTTTCATCATTTATTATTCGAAATTGGATGCGCAATAAATAAACTTATTTCTATATTAATAATGAATTATTAATTTAAGTGGGTAATATTCTGTGTTATTCATTATTGATTTTCTTGTTTTTTGTTGTCGTTTTGTAGAAATATAAATTCATTATGCCAGAAGAACCAATTCCATCCTATACAATTAAAGATGTTTGGGCACATAATGCTGAAGAAGAATTTCGTGCCATAAGAAAACTTATTGTTAAATATCCATATGTTGCTATGGTTAGTTTTCATAAATAGATTTAATTATATAAAGTAAATAATATTTATTTTTTTAAGGATACGGAATTTCCTGGTATTGTTGTTCGACCTTTAGGGGAATTTAAAACAACAGCCGAATATCAATATCAATGTTTGAAATTAAATGTTGATTTTTTAAAAATTATTCAATTAGGTTTAACATTTATGGATAGTCAAGGAAAAAGTCCACCAGGTGTTTGCTCGTATCAATTTAATTTTAATTTTAATTTAGCGTAAGTAGTTTTTATTTATTTCAAATGAATTAAATCTATGAAAGATTTTCTAGAAGTTTAATTGGAAAATTTAAGAAATGTACAATACAATAGAATAGTAGTTAGGATACTGGTAATTCGAAATTTGAAGACAAATTTTTAAAAAATTTTTCACGATTGGATAGAGCTCGTAGTAATTCAAACACACCAAAAGCATCAAATCTTTAAAGCCTTAATATTTCTTTCGATTTTACTCTGCATATAATTAGGAAAAAAATTGTGCATAATTTTTTGAAAATGACTATAATATTCGATGAACTCATTCTGATTATGATATTCATTTCTTTTCGAACTGAACTTCTACTGATCAAGATCGCTGAATGCAAGTCTATATTTATGATTTTTTTCTCAACAGTTCAACAATATTATTCAAAAACCATGCTGAATTTTTTTTTTCTAACTATCTGAAGAGTAATATTGAAGCTATTGTGACTTTATGCTTTTGGCATACATCAATTTCTATACGCTTTTGTCATTTTCTTTAATCTAATTTTTCGAAGTTTCATTACAAAAAAATTATTATCTGATTATTTTTAAAAGAATTTACTCAAACTTCAAATAGTTGACGTCTTACCGATTTTTGAGTTTATCTTATTTGGTTTTCAAATGTTAATGTTTCTCTTTGATTACCAGAGTCCATATTGTGAAAGAACTGATGATTCATAAATATTCTCAATAATTATATTTCTAGGATGGATATGTATGCTCAAGATTCTATTGAACTTTTACAAAAATCTGGTATACAATTTAAAAAACATGAAGAAGAAGGAATTGATCCACATTTATTTGCTGAATTATTAACAACATCAGGTGTTGTCTTTATGGAAAATGTAACATGGCTTTCATTTCATGCGTATGTATTTCATTTGAAGACTATGTAGTGATTTCTAGAGTGCTAAGTGAATAGCTCAAATCCAGAGTGATTTTAATAGTTAATGGATTCTATAGGAAGATTCCAAGGATGAACTGTGATGGGAAGGTTTGTAAAAATCTGGACATATTAGTTTTCAGGTCGCATAAAACTATTATTCAACAATGTCATTGTATACTAAAATCACTATCTGGATTTGATCTAATTGTTTAATATTATAGAAATCATTGTTAACAGTTTTGTTTGATGATTTTAATATTTCTTATTTTATATAGTGGTTATGATTTTGGTTATTTACTGAAAATGCTTACTGGAAAATTATTACCAGATACTGAAAGTGAATTTTTTGAATTATTAAAAATATTTTTTCCAACTATTTATGATGTGAAATATTTAATGAAAAGTTGTAAAAATCTTAAAGGTGGTCTTGAAGAAGTGGCTAAACAGCTTGAAGTAAATATTATTCTTTGTTGTTGTTGTATTATTATTATTATTCGATATCTATTTTAGATTGAACGTATTGGTCCACAACATCAAGCTGGTAGTGATAGTTTAATGACAGGTTTAGCATTTTTTAAAATGAAAGAATTATTTTTCGAAGATTCTATTGATGAAGGAAAATATTCAGGACATTTATATGGTCTTGGACATTCAGCATTTCCAGCTGGTGGATTTGTTTATGAAAATGAGCCTGTGAATGTCGGCGAAAATGAAAGTCCGTAAAGATTTTGCATCATACGTTTCTGTTCTTTTTTTGTTCATTTCGCTAGCGTTGTGTGTGTCATTTTAACTGTTCCCCCTTTTTTTTTGCATTGATTTGGTGTTATGTGCTGTCATTTGTACAGAAGAGCCAAGAAAGATCGAAACAATAGAAGCAAAAAAGGAAAATAATTCGCACAAACATAATTATCAAAGAAAAAAAATTTTTTTTTTCTTATAATTTATTTTCATGATAATGAAATTAAAAAGTCTTGCAATAGCCTATTTGATATATGATCATTTTCGATTGAGAGTACGATAGTGTAAATAGACTATAGTTCGAAATGAAATATTCTGTTTATTTTTTGTGCAAATTGCTTTTAACAGAAATTGTCAATTTTCTAACTGATATATGAAGTTTCCAGTTTTGTTCCAGAATCTTACTTTTCTCAAAGAAACACAGTTACATTTGACTGAAATTTTCTACTACGTTCATCGAAATGTTTCTATTCGTGTGGTTTTTATGTTGTACTGCGAGTAGTATAATAATTGAAATTAGGATTCAATGATTGAAGTACGTTTCAAGCAATGGCTATCCCACTGTTGACTTGCTCATCAAATACGTGTAGATATCTGTCTAAAAATGGCATAGTTCCTTCAGTTGTTAGAGTATTTGCTGATTTTATCTTTTTATGTCTGTAAAGGTTCTCAAATACGTCATCGATAAATATTTTGACATTTAAAATTTCAAGAATGCAATTATTAAAGATTTCAATAATTGTGTTCGATTTTCAATCGAAACGAAATTATGTGTCATCAAAATAATTGTCAGTTTTATCATAGTTTCTGTCTTGATGATAGTAAAATGAGTAGAATTTGGCACTCAACACGTCAAATTATCTTTTTTTGTTCTTGCAAGAATCTACGTTATTATGTTTAAAAAAAATCGATGCTACATGCAAAGTAACTATCGATTTACTTCACCGAACTTTTCTAGTTCCTCTCTAAACGCATGGATTATAGATAATTACAATTAAGGCATGTGGGCGACTCATGGAGTATAAAGAAGAGTCTATAGATTTCATCACCATCGATTAAGAGACTAGGAATGCATCTTCATATGGATCAGTTTCATGTCTATTGTATATTTGCAGGCTCTTCATATTTGCGGAAAATTATAGCATTTTAACTGTATTTAGTGTGGAAATATGTAGCTCACAAAGTCTATAGATCCATAAGTTAGCGTTCTTGGACCAATAAAAAGTCTAATCTTCTCTTCATAACGAGAATTCTTTTGTGTTCAGTCGAATCGTAGTCTTAAACAATCGCAAGTGGCTTTCTATTCATTGCCACGACTTTTCACCGTTACTTTTTTCTTATGACTCGTTTTGTGCTATTCTTTTTGCTTGATAAAGGATACTGTAATTTACTGTTCAAATAACTCCGACAAATTTGTTCTTGACAGGCATAAACCCAACTAAAACTCAGTTGAAGTATAGATCTTGACCAAAGTTCAATCAAACGTCTGGAAAAATATATATTTATTGTAATTAGACACTTCAGTTTTTTCCTTTTTTATACACCAAAAGCTTACAACTAGTATGCGGCTAATCCATATATCTCCTGAACATATCAAGTAACACTTTTGCTCAATTTGCCTTCAGATCTACGATTTCATATGCATAGCGTTCGACAAGAGTGGCTGCGTTTCATACAGACATTCAACTAAGTTTCAGTACGTCGCACAATTCACCGTTTGATTAGAACATAGCATGTCGTTGAATTAAAATAGAGATCTTTATACAAAAAAAAAAGGATAGAGAGACATGTTTTCAAATGCCAGCTTCTCAATTTAGTTACAGTGAAGAATACAGCATCGATTTTCACAGAAAACGATCGAGGTCGTCTTCATTCATAAGCCATACTGTTTTATTGACATTTTCAAAGCCGAGCATAACTACTATGGTATTGTACGTTTCTAATGGAGCAGGTTCACCATCAACACCCCATGTTTCCTCAATATCGGCTATATTACCAGACCAGAAAGGGACATGATGAACAATTTCTCTACCAAAATGCTGACGCGAGAAAGTATTGTACATTGTTGTGTGTAGGATGTGTTGATGCCATGCCTNTACAGGTCATTCCATTTATTTTGAAACAAATTAGAAAGCTTTTCATTTTCTTATCTTGAAAAGTTTGTTGCAATAAATGTTCAATATGTGTTCCATGAACATAGTAAATTAATCTACGATGCTTTGCCCAATTCTCTAAAGCGTCGTCGATTTTATGGAGCTCAAGATTTTCACACTACAATTTTACAACATTTTTCAAGCTATTCAATGTTGGCACTTTGTATTTCCCTACTCGTTCTTTTGTGATCTTCCGAATCGAATAGTCCGTTGGAGGAGTATCTAGCCTCTTGGGTAGCCACGCATTCGGCGTCCTAACTTGGATGTTATGCTCTTTCATATAAGTAATTGCCTTTTTGTCATAGGATCAAAGGTACTGTTGTGATGAAGAATTATTTTCTTTCCTGCATCACTAGGAAACAAACAAGGAACATCATATTTGCTAAATGTTTTATTTTACGTTCTAAGTAGTATCTGCTAGTAATTGTTCAGCCATATGCCATAAACCGTAACTGAGTTTTAATATGTTTACTCATACTAGTCCAAATCAGCACAGCCGCGGGATGTAAATCTTATTGTTCGATTTTTTAATTTCTTACAGTAATCCATTACTTTTAAGAATATATATATCTGTAACATCTTCTCTTACATCAAAATAACACCAGGCTTCATGACCTGGTACATCATTTTTTGCATAATCGACGATACGTACGAGGAACTCAAGATCATCTCTTTTTCATGAGAAACAGAAATCATCAATGTATTGCTCTATTTTTTACAACATTTTGCTTGAATAATATCACGAATGACACGACAAGTAGTACCAATGCTAGTATGATACCTTGCAGTCGTTAAAGTAATTGTTGGAGGATTTTATTTATTCACATACGAGATAATACGACCGACCACTACAGATATTGCTGCATGACATGGAAGATGAAATTTTAGTTTTTAATTATTTAATAAGCATGCTTCGCGCTGTTTTTTAGCCTAGCTAGCAATACGACCGATGGTACTCTCTGATACATTTAAACTCATTTCCGACAATTCTTGATGGATCACAGAAAATGAATACTTTTTCCTCAAAAGACGTTTGACGATACCTTTCATATTATCAGATATTTTATTACGAGACATTCGCTTATGCAAAATATAAACATCATAACAACATGTTGCGTATTATGAGTATCAAGTGATATGAGAATCATGAGATCTTTCTCAGTTATCAGCCAAGAAAAACAACATGCAAATCGTTTCAAAATAAATGGAATGACCTGTNCTGTAATGGGGGGTGTGTCTGTAATGAGGGGGGGGGGGGATATGTCTGTAATGTTCTCTTTCCCGTTGCTATGTGTCTGTAATGGGGTGGGGAGGGGGAGGGGGGAGCCGCCAACCTCGAACTGAAAACTTACACTCACTATTTTCTTCGAAAACATACGTGAGTTCCACAAAAGCTGCTGAGTAATACGCAAGATAGGTCATTTTCTCCGCACGTTTGCAAGAGAACGTACCCTTGTCGTGAAAATATTTTCGATATTCTGAAAAACTTCATCTATTAAAAAAAATTATAAAAGATATGGAACATAATGGAAGATCTTATTTTCCCTAAAAAATTTTCAGTCTTGAACATAATAGAAGACCCGTCTTCTTGTATTGTGTTGGACCGATAGAGGACTTAATATATAACCAAGGTTGAGGAAAAGTAATGCGATGGCTTCATTAACCATGCTTAGCTCAATCTCGAAAGCAAGAAAAGAATACATAGAATATTGGCTGCCATATTTTTTTGACTAAAAGAATAAAGTCTAGAACGGATTATTCGTCTGTCTTTCTCTAATATTTGCCATAAAGGACCTTAATCGTGGTATGAATGACCATATGGATTACAGCTTTAACCATGTGTGTCCACAAGTCCCTCTCATAGATTCTTTTTATTTAAAATCGATTGTCTGGTTTCTTTTCTTCTTAAAATTCAATGTGAAATTGAATGGCCCAAAGTATGCATATTACGGGTCAATCGATTTCAAAGTAAATTTTACGAAAAAAAGACAACTGTTTTCAAATGGAAATAATATATTGTGGAACTTAGGGCACTTCTGAATTCTACAGTGGTATACTTCTCTAGAATTCAGACGTGCTCTGAATTTTTCAGTCTTAAAAGAAACATGATGTATACCTATGTGTGGATTACTTTGGAGGTCAGAAGTCTCGATGTCCTGCCTGTTCTGGACTGTAGGAATGATGAGATTTGTTTCGCCAAATTCCATTTGAAATTGAAGAGTCCATGGATTCTTTGAATGTGCATCTGAATATGAGTGTAACTCTGGGTGAAAAATGTGAGTGAGACTAAAATAAATCGAGAATAAAGATACGACCATACTACACAGTAAAAAATAGGTTGAAAATGTATGGATTGTGGAATTTCCTATGAGAGATTGCATATGACTAAGATTAGGGTATTATTTATTTTCAGAAACTTGTGACATAAACCATGCAGTGCATCGATGAACAGAAATTAAAGGAATGTTTGACTTCGATAATTAAGAAGATCGATGAGACTGTTCGAGAGTTGGCAAAGAAAGCAGAATCTACATCAAAATCGAATTCATCAAATGCCATCACTACAACTCAAGCTACGAATACAGAATCTAATGCCGCTAGTGATGATCGACTGTTCGATAACGCAGTGAAGAATAATATTGTGAACACATTTACTGTTGACAATGAAGAAAATGAATTGTTAGATACATTAACCCGTGATATTCAAAATGCACTGAATGATTATTTGCCAAAATTATCAAAGATGTGTCGTTGCTATATGATGCAACATTTACATGAATATCACTTTAATCAAGATGGAAAATTCACTCAGCGATTAACAACCGGCGATTTATATAATTTTAAACATGATTTAAATGGTTTATTAATGGCTGTACGAGCTTATGTACGAGCAGACGAAGGAGACAGAGAAGAAGTCGAAAATTTTTTGGAAAATTATCCCGAGTACAAAGATAAACCAGGCTTTTGGAAGAAAACATTAATTTATTCAGCAGCAGGAAATAATCATCTTTCTTTGGTTAAATACTTAGTTGAAACAGCTGGTTGTTCTGTGGATGCTCAAAATCAACATGAAATCGCATGTAACAAGATAGCAGATGGTGATGCAACTGAAAACTCACGCGATAATCAAGGATACGAGCCGGATCAGATAGGTGGTTCAACAGCATTACATGTTGCCTGTAATAATAATTACTTGGATATTGTGAAATATTTGATTGATAAAGGAGCAAACTACTTTATTACAAATGAATCGGGAAAAACACCTATTGATAATAGCGATGGTAACCAGGCAATACGAGACTTCTTTAAAAATTATCTCGTATATTCATACAGTGGTTTATCAGATGCTTCTATACCACGTAAAACGGTTTTAGATTGTCCTGATCGTAGATCAACCAATTGTGTTTGGGAATATAAACCAGTAAAGAAAGATAAGTGGACAGCATTTAACGTGATTGATCATAATATCTTATGTACTTCTTTGAAGCCAAGAGCGAACGATCCACCATTTAATACAACAACTTACTTACATGCTAGAGAAAGTACATATACTGTTCAATTATTGACATTTCTTCGTGGAGCCAAAAATCAAGAATCAAATCCATCAGATGAAGATGGTTTAGCATGGATTCGATGTCGAGGATCGAGTATAGCTAACTTTGATATTCATTGTGTTTGGCAATTAATGTTTTTGAAATATGATACAAAAAAAGAATCTGAGAAAGCATCATCAGAACTTCCATCTTTGGTTGCAGAAACTATTCCTTCTTTCGATAATGGGAGATTTCAAATAAAATTGAATGGTTGGTATACATGTGATTTGAAAAGAAATGATCTATTGGACGATGCAATGAATTATAGACGACGATATGTCGATATTGATTGTAATTACGATATTCATTATAATGAAAATGCAACTGTTAAATGTGATCTATATGAATTTACATTTAAGAATAACAATGAAACAATAAAAGGTTGTATTCGATGGATACCAAAAGTTATTGCAAATACAGCGAACACTCAAAATATCATTAAAATATTGGATAATTTTAAGATAATCAATAATTTTAATCCAATACTATTGACAACAAAACGATGTGATCAAGTTATCGGTTCGAAAACAACAACAGAAGGAAGTATAATTGTCAATGAAGATGATGAAAATGAAGAAAACAATCCTAATGATGATATGAATTTAGGTGAAGATTGGGCGGATGATGATGAAAATAGTAAAGATGCAACTCCTCCAGTTATCAATCCTAGTACTTGGAAGATTGAGGATCTTCTAAGTACTGATATGCCGCGAACAAATGAACAGCGTAAGAATAGATGTTAGTGATTGCTTTCTATATCATTTCTTTTCTTGATACTTTAGTTCCGTTAAAAACTGAAGAGGATTCTATTCCAGATATTTCAATACCAATCAGTGATCGAATTATAAATAAACAAATAGATCAATTCAAAAGAGAACAGTTAATAATTAATCAAGTTTCTGAACCTAAGGATAGTGCTAAACAAAATGATGCGATGGGAAAAGATCTGGAAACTATTAAGCTTGAAAATGAGCAATTGAATACAAAAATCATTTTATTACAAAAAGAACTCGAAGAGAAAGCTAAAAATTTGAAAGATAATGATGTTAAAAGTGCCACAGAATTGGATGCAATAAGAATTAAGTTAGAAGACTTAGAGGAGCAATTAAAAACAAAAATCGACAAGGAAAAATTTATTAACAAAGAAACCGAGCAAATATCTACTTTGCAATATACTATACCGAAGTCAAGTCAGTCTGTACGTTCAAAGTTCAATATAATTATCAATACATTGAGAAGTTTGGATTATTCTCTTAAAGAATATTTTAAAGATAATATACCTGTCATTGACTTAGATGATGAAGATAATAGGAAAATAACACTTAAAGGTTTTCCCATACATCATAAAATATTGAAGGAGATCCTAGAAAAATGGAAGAATCTAGTTCAGAAAATTCAATCTGTTCAAGAAGATTATTGTCAAGAAATCAACGAAAAAATAAAAGATTTGTTAAAAACAATTCATCAAGTGCACTCTACTAATCCAACTTATTGGAAATCCTATGCTAAATGTTTGGTTAAATTAGTCGATCAAAAATATGATAGTGATGTTCAAAAATTCAAGAATTTTATGAACGATAAAATGAAAATACTATTGGATATGTGTATTCAAAATGTACAACAAGATTTTCAACAACAGATTAGCGACTGGAAAAAAGAATATATGGGGGCAGAAAAATTTTCGGATGATGTTGAATTGCTAAAGGCCAATGCTCAAAATGAATTTATACACAAATATATTTTCTTACAACAAAAGTCGACGAAAACCATACCAACAAAAGAATCTGCTCGAGAGTTAGATAAACATATTGAAACCATTAAAGATAGATCGAAGAGAAATCCAGATTATAAAGGATATAAATTAAAACATTTTCAAATGATTGTATCTCTATTACATCATCTAATGATATTTTATCATTGCTTTCTAATACAATTACCTCTATTCAATGCATCATTTGATCTTTTAAGTAAAATTGCCAACAATACGGTGATAACTATTGAAACAGCAACAGGTTCAGGTAATAATATATATCTAAAATCACTCGTTGATGCTACATCGATGACGTAGGAAAATGCTAGATCTCTATTCCTAAAAGACTAATAAATCAGTTTGTTCATGATTCTCAACGTATAACTTATCTTTCGTAAAGATATACATTCTTTTGACAAGTAGTTTAATAATATATTTTAGCAAAAAAATCACAAATATCAAAATCTTATCGACTACTCTGATTATTTTTTTTTATACAAGCTGATTTGTAATTGATTAATAATCGATTCATGGTCAGTTTGTTGCATAAGTTTATTTTACATAACATAAATTCCATAAGAGCGACTAAATTTGTTAAACTATTTAGGAAAATTTTGAGAACTGAAAGAACCAAATATTTCTGTTCAGAGAGATAAAATCTGAATCAACTGATTAAAATAACTTACGATCGATTTTGAAAAACTTAGACATCACAATATTTCTTGAATCGCCTGCATATGTAATCAACTAGAATCTTGAGGTATTCACTGTTGAAAATGAAGTATTGGAAACAAAATGTTGAATAAACAATCACTGTACGAAATTTTTCAATTATGACATTTCGGCATTCATAGTTTTCTAATAAATATTTTCATTTCTATTAATCATCATGATACAATTCATGCGTAGTCTGAATACATTTCTACAAACTAAAATATCTTCAAAAGCTGACCCAGAACTGATTGTACATTTTGACTAGGTATAGTCTGAAATAAAATGATTCCACATAGAATAGTAAATGTGTACTTTGGATACGCAAGTTTTTAGGAAATAAATTTACTAGCTCTATGCACATTTTACTTATCTAAACATCAATATAATGAAGAATTATGAGAACATTTTTTTTTCTAAACATTGAAAATGAATCCTATTTTACTTTATCCATTGCAGGAAAATCAACACTCCTACCGGCTTTGCTAGTCGCTGAAGGTTACGATAAAGTTATTGTTACACAACCTAGACGCCTGCCATGCAATTTGATATCTCAACGCGTTAATTCAATGGTTAACGATGACATAAGTGGATGGGCAGTAAGTGGTGCTGAGCATAATGTACAAGCCAAACTTCGTTGTCTCACTGACGGTTTATTGAAAGAACGCCTATTGAATGATGACAATTTAATAACAGAAAAGACCAATGTGAAAAAATCAGTAGTATTCTTTATCGACGAGGTGCATGAACGTTCGATAAATATTGATTTATGTTTGGCATTATTTGCACGACTCTTAAAATTGAAACCTGAATTAAAGAAGAAAATGAAAGTAATTATATCTTCTGCTACTTTGGATTCATCAATTCCAACATTGTATCGAAACATCACTGGTTATTTTATAGATAAATTTAATTTAGCATCATTATCGAAACTAGACAATGTGACTGACAATGATGCATCAAAAGAACATCTACTAGATCTTGTACAAAAATTGTATAGTATACGGAATCGACATGATCAAATACTTTGTTTTGTTGGTTCAGCATTGGAAGCAGTAGAAAATTGTCGATCATTAAATAAGATAACAAAAGGTGCAATTGTTGCATATCCTCTCATACAATCACAGTCTGCTATTGATCAACAAAAATTTATTGAACAAGGAACTGTCTTTTTCTCAACAACAGTTGCCGAAACATCGTTGACATTTCCATGTTTAAAATATGTTATTGATACTGGTTTGATCAATATGCCTGTATATAATTTACAATTAGAAAGAACTGAATTACGAGAAATAAAAGCACCTGAATCAACACTTAAACAACGACGCGGTCGACTTGGTAGAACACAACCTGGTGAATACTATGCACTATATAACGATGTACCTAGTATGTGCCAAGAAAAAGTATCTTCTAGAATAAAAATATTTAAAATTTATATTTTAGATGAACGAAAAAAGTATCCTGTACCACAAATATGTCAATCAGAATTAGTTAATGTAGAATGTGCTTTACGAAGATCTCGACTAAAAACTAGTTTGAAAGATTTTCAACAATATTTACCTGATAAACCAGAAAAGGAATATGTGGATGATGCTTTAACACAACTACAACAATTAGGTAAGTTAATAAGTTATTATTTCATGTTTTCGATTCATAATCATCTCGTTTTTTTTCAAAAATATGTATTTTCATTTAGGTCTCATGAACTCTTTTTCAACTGCAAGTTTGACTAATCTTGGTGCATCAATTGCCAAACTACCTGATTTTGGCTCTTTACCAATGTCGAAAGCTGTCTATGCTGCATTAAAACAATATCGTTGTGGTCATGATTTGATTGTTTTATCATCGATTTTGTCTGTTCTTAACACATCAACCATACTGAAGTCAATTCCAGCTAAATATAAACGTTCAGAAGGAGATTTTATGACACTTTTACAAGTGATGAATGTCATTTTAACAGTTCGTAATGCTGTTCCTTCTCAACAATTCAACGTAGATCATGTTTGTAATAATAAAGGATTATCTGCTGTTGCTCATGTAATTAAACGTGCATTACAACGATACAAAAATTTAGATAAAGCTTTCAGTTTATCAGATGAATTCCGTGAACTTGCTCGTGTTCAATCTGACAATTGGGAAAATATTGCTAAAGCTTTATTGAATGGATTTTCTGATAAAGTATATGCATCTCAAAAAATGTTTCAGGGAAGAGCGCAATAATTTATAAAGTATGGCATCAATCAACGAAGATCACAGAATCAACAGCAAGATACATTGAATGAGACTGCTGAAATTGCAGTTATTGATAGATCTTCAACGTTAAGAACTGGAAATAAAGGAGCTTTACCTGCATCATTGGTTATAGCTCGAGATGTTCGTTATTTAACAACTGTACGTTCAGTTTCTATTCTTTCATTTGTTGGACAACTTGAATCATCATGGTTAGAATACATTTTTGAGCGTGAATTACAATTAAATGAAGCTGAAGAAAAAATTAAAAGATGAAAATATCTTACAACAAGCGAGACAACAGTTTTCACAAGTACAAATACAATTAAATAATAGAAAATTAATATTTCATGGTCCATCTGGTCACATTCTCAATGCAGAACTTTATGTTCGTCAACAACTAGTGACTCTAATAAAGTTCACATTAAAACCTGATGATTCGAACAAACCTGATAGTAATCTCACCAAAAATTTAAGTCACATCACACATATGTCTGGTGACTTATTTGGCCCATTACGATGGCGATGGAAGTCTGAACAGCAAGTAAAAATACAAACAAAAATGTATCAGCATAATGGTACAATTGATCTGACAGTAGAAGGTATTGATTCACAAAATCAAGCAGTATATCAAGAATTTATGTCATTCTTAAGTTGGTTACGCAATTGTGCTGTATTTCGAGATCTTGATTCAGGTAAGTGAAATATCTGTTGAAACCTAGAGCATTTATAAAACATATTTAAGCAAATATCCGCCACATTTATTCAATTATTTATCTCCATTTTATCGAAAGAGCTTTTACAAAGTTTCGATCGATGTAATTAGTGCTGTTCTTTATATGTTTTATTAATTAGTAGAAATAGTAGATAGGAACAGTATATCTATAAAGAGAGAATTGACAATGAGACTGAATTAGAAAATTCCTAGAAATCTTAAAGAATGATTTTGTTTTCTTTGCATGAAATACACTTTACACTATATGTTTTTTGTCTAATATTTAGGAGTTTCACCGCGTGCTTTAAAACCGGAAATTCGTGATCAATATCTTGACATGGAAGCAAAAATTGGAAATATAACTGATCCAGATCGGACATCAGTTGATATATGGAAAAGTTTGAAGGGTCCTAATGCTTCACGTGAAACACGTATGGAAGTAGTAGCATGCATAGCTGTTTGTCAATTCTATTGTCGATTAGAAGGTGGATTTATTCGTGATTGGGTTGTGGGTAATTATTTCTCAAGACCAAGTAACCTACCATCAAATCAATGGATTCAATATTCAACAACTAGTATACCAATATTACCTAAAGATCTTGTCCCAGCAGATCTTGATTGCATTCTACCATACTCGAAAATTTTTGACATTGAAGCTTTTATAGATGCATTATATGGCTATGGAATTGTAGCAAGAGTATTTCGACAAGACTGGCGTTACGTACTCTTGATAGATGAAAATACCAAGACAGGTCCGTTTATGATGGATTTAATTGAACCACATATTGCTCAAACACATGATCGAACTGATTTTGATGTTAGTAATTTAACATTAGAACGAAGATATACGAAAGATTTGGGTATGCGTGTTGACATCACTCGTTTATCAGATCCAATTCAACTCGAAACAATTGTAGACAATATTCGTAATAAAAAATTTCAAGTTCTACGACCAATCGATAAAACGGTTACGAAACGCATAGAGAAAATGAAATCAAGAGGATGGACACAAATTGGAACACCATTGTCATTTATTCCAGATCTACCATCAACTTACAATGCTGTTCTTATGCTATATCCACCTACAACAGTACTCTATCAGAATCTTGTGACTCAAATGAAAAAAATACCTGGAGGACATGTTATATCAATTGAACAAATAAGAAATAGTAATATTGAAGCATTGTATGAAAATATGAAAGAAACAATAGCAAAAGAATGTCCTGGTAAGAATCCAAATGAACGAGAATTATTTCACGGCACTCATGGTGATGCAATGAAAGGAATAATTAACAGAGGTTTTGATGACCGATATTTTTCGCCGGATGGATCATGGGGTATGTTAACAGTTTCATTTTCAAACTGTTTTTTTTCGATTTTTAGTAGACAAGAAATATAGGACTACGTAGTTTCAACAGTTTCTTGTATTTGACTTCAATGCAGTAGTACAGTAACCATTCATTTTCGTGTAAAGATCAAAAGAGAAAGCATCTTCATACTTTATACATATCAATATTTAGATTATTGAATGAAATGATGCACTAGTGGAGTGCTCACTGTTGGAAACTCACTTTCCTCCGTTTGATTTTTATTTACTATTTGTGTCGTGTGCCTGTTTTTTCATCCTATAATAGTTTAACATGTGTTTTTTTGTTTTGAGTTTCACATGTACGTTTTTATGTAGGATCTGGTGCATATTTTTCTGATGATCCACGAAAATCGAATAAATACGCACAACCTGATCAGAACACAAAATCTCGCGTTATTTTTTACACCAAGGTTGTATTGGGTGTTGAATCTGTACAAACACAAACAAACAGGTCACTTCATGCAGCACCGCTAAAGCATCATTCTGTTCATGGTAAGGCATTTCAATACGATGAATACATTGTCTATCGATATGGTCAAGCCTTACCATACTTGAAAATTACTTATACAGCACCTTAATAAGATCTTAGAGAGATTTTTTGTGTACTCAAAAAGTGAGTACACTACTAAAATCGGTCAGTGTGTCCGTCCGGCCGGCCGTCCGTCCGTTTATCCGATAACTTTCGAAAGGAGAGTCGGATCGTGATGAAATTTTCTACACAGTTCAGTCTTAACAATGTCTCGGTCGAGTTCGAAGATGAGC